GGGGGGGGGGACCTGCAGAGACCACAGAGTTAGACTAATTTTAGGACAGCTTTGACTCACCACTACCCTTTACTATCAGGTACCTGGTGACTTCTTTCTCTGAATCGAGTTACGTATATAAAGCCAGGTGAGACAGGGACACTGCTCATTGCCACGCGTGACTGTGTGGCACTGTTCCCCAGCCGCACCGTGAGCTACCTCTGGACTGACCCACCACCTTCCAGGTCTCTGGCTTCCCCCCACAGGGCCAGCGACGGCCTCCACACGCGCAGGTGCCCTCAGGGCCAGTGGAGAGCAGGCGGGAGCACCTGGGTGTGGGAAACAGACTTAGATTTTAATCCGGGCTCCACCTGGCAAACCTTCCTAAACCTGCTTCCTCCTTATGAGTTAAAACTTTCCACTTCTAACATTGGGTTTATCATGAAATTTTAGCTTCAGGGCCCCTGACTTGCACAGATCCCTCCCGAGGCCCTGGGGGAGGCTCTCCCAGTTTTGAAGTCACAGTTTTAAATTCTTTTTCATAAAGAGTCCCCCAAATGTTAGCAGCTTCAGGCCCCACAAAACTTAGATATGCTCTTCCCTATCCCATGGAGTTGCTGTGGATGTGAAGTGAGATCCGGTCATAAAGTCTGGGACATACCGGTGCTCAATACACAGTACTTCCTTCCAGAACCACCCAGAGAAGGGATTGAATGACAGACAGAACAGCAGCTGATGTGCTTGTTGCATGCCCCTTTTAATGTCCCACATATTGCCATTCAACAGCCAGTCCCCAGACCAAGAGTGGCCTCTGGGATCCAGACACAGTGGGAAGGATGCTAGGGCACCTGGCTCTCCAGGGTGGCCTCCTCAGCTCTGATGTGGCTGTGGATCCAGTCGAGGTAGCGGCTGACTTTGGTGTAAACGCCATAGTTGTGGAGGCGCCCACAGCCCTCACCCCAGCTCACCAGGCCCACCAGGAACCAGGTGCCATGGAAGGAGGCAACCATAGGTCCCCCACTGTCACCCTCACAGGCATCCTGAGGGTCCCCAAGGATGCCTGCGCATAGCATGTTCTCAGAGACCACGTTTTGCATGGCCTCGACACACTCGTTGTGAGGGACCACTGGAATCTTAATGAAGTTGAGGATGAAGGTGCGGTTTCTCCTGCTCTCACTGCGGTAGCCCCAGCCCGTCACCACTGTCTCCTGGCCGACCTTGGTGAGCTCACGCTCTGAAAGGCCGCTGTCTGGGAGGCAGATGGGTACAATGGTCTGTGAGAGGGTGGCAGGCTGGGCCAGATGGAGGAGAGCGATGTCATTGTCCGTGGTGTGCTTGCTATAGTTAGGGTGCACCAGGATCTCCTTGATGTCTAGGTCCACCTCCCACTTCTCCTTGCGCCGCAGGTCATACTCTCCTGAAGGGCAGAGGGGCAGTCAGGGCGGGCTTGGGGGAAGCAGGAATGACTGCTGTGCTCATGCAGGACCTGGTGGAGGGCAGCAGGTCGGCAGCTGGAGTGGTCACCACACATCCCCGGCACCATTGTGGCCACATGTCTACACGTCTGTTCTCTATTAAGGGTAACAGCCCGTGGGTGTCTATCATGAAGGGGCAGAACGCTGGTCTGCATTTAAGACTCATAGATGGAGAAGTGCCAGGGAAGTAGGCAGCAGGGGGCAGTCAGCAGGGGGGCCCAGGACCCCTGGAAACCTGGGACACAGATCAGGGCTACAAAGAGAACAGGAAGGCTGCAGCTGGGCAGACAGGACTCTCCTCCCACAGAGGTATGGCCGGCAGTGCCCAGCCTTAGCACCAGGCAGGGACATGCCATGGTGGGGCAAGGCAGGGGCAAGAAGACCCAGAGAGGACCCAGACTCTGCAGGAAGAAAGGTCTGGGTCACTCACAAAAGGCAGGTCCTGTCAGGCAGGGCCAGTGGTTCCTGCAAGGTTGGGGGAACGCCTGGAAATCGCAAGCAGAGCCCCAAGGGAGGCTAGAGGCCACTGGCCCTGCTGCAGATAACTGTAGAGAATGTGAATCTGGTCACTGTCAATACATGGTTTCCTCCTTTTTTGCATAAAGAATGGAGTAAGAGCCTCCTCCAGAAATTGGTACAGAGTGGGGCCCAAAATGCTGCAGGGAAGCAGCTGGCTCTGTGGCAGGTGCCAGGGCCCTGCGGCACAGCCCCACCCCACCCATCCCTGTGAAGCAAGGCCCTGAGCCAGGCCATGTGGGTGGGTCTGCGCCAGAGGGAGGAGGCAAGCATGTGCGTGACTCCCTCGCCTGCAGACACTTGTGTATTGAGCACCTGGGCCCAGATTTGAAGAGGGCACCAGAGAATCCTCTACCTGCAAAATACCAGGCATCGCTGCGTCTAAAATCCCGCCACAGGATGACAGGGTGGGAGCAAGCGCGCCTCTGCCACCCAAACCCTTTCTGTAGAGCTCAAGCAGCCTCTTGCTCACGCACCTATCCTAGGGATAGGGTCCCCAAACCTGGCCAGCTCGCCTGGTGCCGCCCTCCCTGCGCCCTCGGGTGCCCTGCCCGGCTCCACCCGCACCGAGCCTGACGATGAGCTTCCTGGGTTCCTCCAGGCAGTGGGCTGCGGTCAGCACCCAGGAGGTGTGGATCAGAACTGCCCCGCAGGCCAGCCTCTTCTTCGAGTCCAGCAGGATCGCCTGGCGTGAGAGAGGGTGGTGGCGTCACAGCGCGACCCCCGATAACTCCCAGTCGGGGCGCTTCGTCTCCGCGGGACCCGGGCGGTGCCCAAGCCCCAGGGGCTGGAGGCGGGCGGCGCGCACTCGCGCCCCGCTCC